CTTCCGATCAAATGTTCTTCCCCTAGTCTAAGGCAGACAACGATGAGTTCCATGGACATGGACATGGACATGGAACTTCACTGTAAGTTGTAAGACAAGACAAGATCTGCTCATTTTGATCGTGTAATAACATACCTTACTTATGTGTTCAACGTGAGAAAACTTGCTTGGTCTCAGAGCTCGAATCCTAATCCGAAAATGCATTAATGGAAAGGCGGAATCTCGGAGTTCTTAGACATTATTGAGCTTCTTGGCCATCTTCATCTTAGTCTGCAATGGCAGTTCCGTACATTTCAGAAGCCGCAGATTTCGCGGTCACTACTGCGGCACGGAGGTTCTCTCGAGAGGCTCTGTTTCGGGATGAAACGACATTGAAGATGATAAAACAAAAAATAGGATAAGGGTGGTCATCTGGGGTTACGGTTGGAGTTCGTTTGTGAAAAATTATATTTATATGGTTTTTACACTAGATCAAATTCGATTTCGGTTTTTGTCGATATTAGACCATAAACCCGGTCTCATCCAAGATCCAGTTACCCATATTCAAATCCAATTTTCGAATTTTTTCCGCCACTAAACCCGATGACATTTTACAGAATGAGTTCACCGTGTTTTCGATCTAACTACATTTTCTAGATACTCGAAGAAAAGATCGGTTAAATTACCGCCTTACAATACCTCCATACCCATACCTGAAATTGAACCTCGGATGAGACCATAATCTGTATGTTCACTTACCAGTTTACCACCCGACCCACCAAGGCTTGGGCGAACGAGTTGATCTTATCAAAGATCCTCTTGACACATGGTTCTTGTTCCGACAAGAGACAATCAAATGGTCTGGAAAATCGAATTATGAACACCATCAATCTAATGGCATTGGCATTCTAAGGCTAATCTCCATTTCTCCTGACCTTCCATGCTTTATAATTTGCAGAAGAATAAACACTTTGCACTGAATCAGTCCTAAAACTGATTCAGGATAAACACATTTCCGAAATCTAAAGATTCGAACTGATAATTTATAAACAACGAGACCTTTCCTCATTCGGATTTAGCCTTGGCCGCCGTGGCAAGAGGCCTAACCACCAGTCTGAAGATCCAAACCGCCATTAACGTAGCTTCGACCGGAGCAAGCCAGTACACGAGTATGTGCTCCTTCGTTATATGCTCGCCTCTTGCATATGCCCATCCCATTACCTGCAAAGTTTTCGGGCAAGTTCCATAACCAACAGAAGTGGATAAACCGCCATTTTCAGACACGTTTAACTGTCTAGGGAGCACTTACAGCTGCGGGGTTCATGCATCCACCGGTGAGATCGGAGCCAAGAACGTGAAGGGTCAGCTTGGACAGGCTTCCGATCCATGTCTTCATGAAGAAACTCCCTGGGATTTTTCTCGACACTCCCAACGATATCGTCACGATGGCGAATGTAAGCATTCCTTCTGTTAGGGCTCCGTGATGGATCGCTACGTTCAGACGTGGCCCTCGTCCGATCTCGGGAAATGTCTGAAGAACATGCCTAACTCCGAGGATGGATCCAGCCACCTGAGAGAGTCAATCCATTTTTCAAAAGCAGGAATCTGAGTTCGGTTTGATGATGACATCAAGAAACTGTTGTCAAGTTTCTTGCTTTCTTTCTTTCTTGCATATATACAGAACGCACATTGAGTGATATACAGATATAGTTTATGGTTTCTTTCCAAGAAAATAGCATCAAAGGAAGTAACTTTCTCCTCCAAGAACGATTTCGAATTCCGGGTTCTTATTTCCCGTTTGATTTTTTTTCTGAAAAATCACAGCCCTGTATTGATCAGAGATGATGATTCAGCAGTTTCAGATCACAAATCTCATTACAGAAAACCAAATTTCATGTCGGAAGGAAGTCTAAGCGATTTATTCAGTTCTAAAAGATCTGTCATAATGATGCAACAACAGAGACACTTTCAATGGAAGACGCAATAAAACACATGTCGTATATCGAAGGTCAAATAAATGGTTTCCAATTGTCAGAAGAATTTGATCGAACCAAAAGGAGATGGGTATAATTGGTGGGTCGAACCTCGACTGGGATTCTGATCGCGACGGCGAAGATAAATTCGAAGACGCCGCCGCCGGAGGAGACGGCGGCGGCCAGAGTGGTCAAAGGGTTGTAGAGTCCGCCATTGGTGAGCTTCTGGAAATAAGCGAACAAGAACATGTTGGCGACGGACAGAACATATCTGACGAGATCTCCGGTCGTGTCTCGCCCATATCCCCAAACTCCATGGACGAGTAAGTTGGCCAGAACACCGGCCCATACCCACATGAATGCCAGGACGAAATCAGCCACTACCAGAGAGATTTTACCCATTTTGATTCAGACAAAACAAAAACCCACCAAGAAAAAAACAACCTTTTCGTGTTCCGTTGCTCCGTCAGTTCACACGAATTTCTGAAAATTCAGGAACCCTAAGAACACGATCCCACTTTTCTTTTTTCCTTCTATTTTTGGTGGGATGGTTTTGATTGGTGCTAATACGTTGGGTTTATAGCATTTTTCTTTGTTTTTTTTTCCGCACGCTGATTGCACATCAATGGAGGAGATTCTCGGACAGCAGTGATGAGGGTGTGAGTCAGATCCCGACAAAGAAAATGTACTCTTCGGTCTTTGGTGTTTCTCACCGTCGTCAGAAACCACGCGCCCAACCCCAGCTTCAACTAACTTATTATTCTGCATGATTGCAAAAAATATTTGGTAAAATAAAACCTAATTTCGAATATCCCGATGTATTCGAATAAATAATAAAATGATCTTTTATCAATAATTTTTAAATGACTCAAAATTTCGGGTTTAATTTTGGTTAGTCCGAAAATCTCTAATATCTGACCAAACAATTCTTAATATATAATTTCTCGACTTTGTCCACGCCTAACATAAATATTTGTAATTCATTGGCATTTCTGCCTGATAAGGCTTTTTGGGCCTACGTCAGAAGGAAGCCCAAGGAGAAAAGCAATGGAGAAGCAGGCCCAATGGAGGAGAAAGACACTTGAAGAAATGGACGTTGAATAAAGCTGAGGTGGCAGCATTGGAGAAGATGACACACGAGGAAGCCGAGGCGAGAAGATTCTGTTAGGACGTTAACCACGCCTATCCTTATTATATTACGTTTTAAAGTTTGTTATTGCCAGATCATCAGGTTGTTGGTGAGAAGGCTATATATTTACGACTTTGCTGTGTAAAAGGGTATCAGAAAAATACTCAGAAAGTGTGTGTGTGGAGTGGACCTCTCACTGGGAAAAACTCTTGGGATTTTCTGGGTCTTTGGTATTGATAAATAAAGTATCCCTTTTCGTGGACTTTATTAATTGGTATCAGAGCCTAGTCGGGTCAACCATGCCGCCGAAAAATTCGAAGCTCGAGCAGCTTGAGGAAGCGGTGACCAAACAGATGGGCCAGTTTGATTCTCGGATGACCCAAATGCATGGGGCTATTTCGGGACTCCAGAAAGATTTTGGCCGGATGATGGAACAGTTCTGTCTCATGATGGACGGCCGTCGGGAACCAGAGAAATCATCCCCTGGGGACGTGGTTACAGGGGGGCAGTCGTCTCGGGGCCAGGAATCTTCCCATCGGTAGGGGAAGGCTCCGTTGATGGACCAGGAGACAACACCTGTTCGGGCTATGGAAGCGCAGGAAACCAACTGTGTTGCGTTTATTGCCGGCCCCGAACTGCGAAAGATCGAGATGCCGATATTTGAAGGAACCAACGTTGCTGGGTGGGTTACTCGCGCCGAGCGCTACTTTCGTTTCGGGAATATTCAGGACCCGGAACGTCTCAACTTGGCGGCGTTAAGCATTGATGGGGAGGTCCTCCACTGGTACGACTGGCAGTGCAGCAACCGACCTTTCCGTGACTGGGCTGATTTTAAATCCCGTCTTCTTCGGCGATTTGATGAACGTATTGTAGGATCTGTTGGCAATCGTCTTTTTTCCATACATCAGACTACTACGGTCTTGGACTATTTACGAAGTTTCGAAGAGCTGTTGTCACAACTTTCGGAGGTTCCGGAGTTTTTGCTCGAGTGTGCTTTTCGCAGCGGCTTAAAAACGGAGATTCGTAATATGCTGGAGGTTCTCAATCCACAAGGAATGGAGGACACGATCGCGCTGGCTTTCCGTCTGGAGAGGAACGCGGTGGCAGAATTCAAATCTGGGGATACTCGTTCTTCCCGATTTCCGGCATCGACACCGGCTGGGCATTTTCGGACGGTATCGCTGCAAACGGGGAACGATGGCGGTCTGGGCCGTGGTGGGCTTCGCCTCAGGAACCAGGTCCAGTTGTCGGGCCCAGACAAGGAACTCAACCTGAGTTGGGCCAGGGAGCCCAAAGGCCCAATTGCCGGAGACTTCCAGATGCGGAAATCAAGGAACGTCGCCGTCGAGGTATGTGTTTTCGCTGCGACGAACGTTACCATCAGGGTCATCGCTGCAGGAACAGGGAGTTACAGGTGGTAATGGTGACGGACGAAGGGGAAGAGGTCCTCGCCGAAGATGACAACCCAGAGCCGGTGGAAGACGAGCTCAACCCAAACCCTGAAGTCGCGACTCTGTCTCTCCAATCCGCGGTGGGTATCACGTTTCCAAAGACTCTGAAAGTTGCGGGGGAGATTCATACCCGTCCTGTCATTGTGCTGGTTGACAGTGGCGCAACCCACAACTTCATTTCATGGGAAATCGTCCGGGCTTTACAGATCGAGCCAACGCCGACTACGGGATACGGAGTTACTCTGGGTACAGGAGTGGCAGTCCGCAGCGGAGGGGGTTGTCGTGCGATTTGTCTGCAGTTTCCGGAGATGACAGGGGGGGGCCGCTTTTGTTTCCGGAGATGACAGTGGTGGCCGATTTCTTGCCGTTGGAGTTGGGAAGCACCGATGTCATTCTGGGTATTCAATGGCTGAGGACTCTGGGAAAGATTCAGCTGGATTTTGCCAGATTGGAGATGAAATTCGAACACAACGGACGCCAGGTGGTACTTCGCGGTAACCCTCAGCTTCACTCCACCTTGGTGACTTTTAAGTCTCTCTGGAAATCGACTGATAAGAAGGAAGAGAGTTTTCTGATCGATTGCACAATGCTTTCGAAAACAAGAGACGTTCCGACACCAATTCCGGATGAACTGCGTTCGGTCTTGGACGCCTTTGCCAAAGTGTTTGGGGATCCCACGGGCTTACCCCCTACTCGCCGCCAGGATCATCGTATTCAGCTGAAGCCGGGCACGGGTCCAATCAGTGTACGCCCCTATCGATACCCTCACACGCACAAGGAGGAAATCGAGCGGTTGGTTCGCGAAATGCTCCAGGCAGGTATTATACAACCCAGCAGTAGCCCTTTCTCGAGTCCGGTCCTGCTGGTAAAGAAAAAAGACGGCAACTGGCGGTTCTGTGTTGATTATCGCGCCATTAACCGGGTTACAGTACCAGATAAGTTCCCGATACCCATGATTGATCAGCTCCTGGATGAACTTTTTGGTGCCGTGGTTTTCTCTAAGCTGGATCTCCGTTCCGGCTATCATCAGATCCGAATGCGCCCTGAGGATGTTGATAAAACGGCCTTCCGCACTCATGACGGGCATTACGAGTTCCTTGTCATGCCGTTCGGATTGACCAATGCCCAGGCGACCTTTTAGGCGATTATGAACGATATCTTTCGCCCTTATTTGCGCAAATTCGTACTCGTATTTTTTGACGATATTCTGGTATACAGCCGCTCTCGTGAGGAACATGTGGATCACATTCGGACGGTCTTACAAACACTGGAATCCAATCAGCTGCTGGCCAACTTCAAAAAGTGCCAGTTCGGGCAGGAATCCATCGAATACTTGGGTCACGTGATTTCAAAGGTGGGGGTGTCAACAGACCCAAGTAAGACGGCGACCATGACAACTTGGCCTAGGCCAACGTCAGTACGGGACTTGCGCGGATTTCTGGGGCTGACGGGTTACTATCGCCGGTTTGTCAAGAATTATGGTATCATCGCTCGCCCTTTGACTGATTTATTAAAGCGTGATGGATTTGTCTGGTCCGATGCAGCATCTGTGTCGTTTGAGCAGTTGAAGCAGGCAATGCAATCTGTACCTGTCCTGGCATTGCCTGATTTCAACGACACGTTTGTGTTAGAAGCGGATGCCTCGGGGTTCGGCATTGGAGCAGTTTTAATGCAGCGCAAACGGCCGATCGCCTACTTCAGTCGGGCTTTATCAGCACGAGAACAACTTCGTCCAATCTACGAACGAGAACTAATGGTTGTAGTATTGGCAATTCAACGTTGGCGGCATTATTTGTTGGGTCGTCGCTTCATTGTACACACGGACCAGCGCGCCCTCAAGTTTCTTCTTGAACAACGCGAGATCAATCTGGAATACCAGAAATGGCTTTCCAAGCTCCTCGGTTATGACTTTGATATCCGTTACAAACCGGGTATCGAGAACAAGGCGGCGGATGGTCTCTCTCGGATTGCTGCTACCACGGGGCTGTCTTCTTTGGCTGTCTTGTTTGCGTTAACAGTCCCTACTGTTATCCAGTTCTCAGAAATCCAGCAAGAGGTATTGGCAGATCCTGCTCTGCGTGTAATCATTGAGAAGCTACAAAACCAGTCCGAAGCACCCGCCGGATATCATTTACGCCAGGGTAATTTGATGTACCAGGATCGGTTTGTGCTGCCCTCTTCGTCGACTTTTATTCCTCTGATTCTTCAGGAGTATCATGATGGGCCAATGGGCGGACATTCCGGGGTGCTGAAAACATTAAAACGAATACAAGGTATTTTTTACTGGGAAGGTATGAAGACAGTCATCCAGAAATACGTCCTACATTGTTTGACATGTCAACAGCAAAAGTATTCCACTCTTGCACCTGCTGGCCTTTTACAGCCACTACCCGTTCCTACACAAGTTTGGGAAGACATTACGATGGATTTTATCGAGGGTCTGCCACGTTCTCAGGGAGTTGATGTTATTTTGGTAGTCATTGATAGACTCACCAAGTTCGGCCACTTTATGACCCTCCGACACCCATTCACAGCAGTAGATGTGGCTCGCATTTTTGTCCAGGAAGTGATCCGACTACATGGATTTTCGAAATCCATAGTTTCTGACCGCGACCGCATTTTCTTGAGCCAATTTTGGACTGAGTTGTTCCGCTTGTCGGGCACAAAGCTGAGGTTTTCAACAGCTTTCCACCCACAATCGGACGGGCAAACTGAGGTGGTGAACTATTGCCTGGAAACCTACTTACGCTGCTACGCTTCTGGTCACCCGAGGACGTGGGCTAAATATCTCCCTTGGGCGGAGTTCTGGTTCAATTCTTCCTTTCACACGTCACTCCAAACAACTCCATTTCGAGCTCTATATGGCAGGGACCCACCAACATTGATACCATATGAGCCAGGGACGACAGTCAATTTTGATTTGGAAAGGGAGCTACTGGATCGGGACTTGATGCTATCAGAACTTCGCCACAATTTACTGAGGGCTCAGCAGCGTATGAAAAAGCCTGCGCTGACGCTGGCCGCCGGGAGGTGATCTTCCAACCGGGAGACATGGTATTTCTAAAGCTACAGCCTTATCGCCAGCAGTCGGTAGCGCGCCGTAGCTGTCAGAAGTTGGCAGCACGTTACTTTGGACCTTTCGAAGTCTTGAACAGAGTGGGAAAAGTGGCCTATCGCCTTAAGTTGCCTATGGATGCGAAGATCCACCCAGTTTTTCATGTCTCGCGACTCAAACCAGCCCGAGGGGTCTCGTTACAACCAACGCCACTGCCGGCTCGTTTGAATGCGGATATGGTATGCTCTCTGGAACCTCTGACTTTGCTGGACAGCCGCTACTCACCATCGGGAAAGCTCGAAGTACTGATTGATTGGCAAGGAGGTCAGCAAGCGACGTGGGAAACCGCTTCCGAGTTCACGGCTCAGTTTCCGCAATTCAAGCTTGAGGACAAGCTTCGACTGATCGGCGGGGGTATTAGCTACAAAAATAATTCATTGGCATTTCTGCCATGGTGTCACGTTAGCGTTCGTATCCGCAACGTGTTGGCAATGTTCGTTGTAGCTAATTAAATATAAAGATATGCATACATATATATACGTAAATATATATACATGTATATATTGTATATACATACATATATGTGTATACATATGCAGTGGTGTTTGCATTCCATTGGTGAAGGAAGGTCCATTGAGTTCAAACTGGAATCGACCTCTTTTTACAATAAACACACACACACAAACGAATATAATCAAATCAACCAAAGAACAGAACACAACAGAAGTCTAGACATTTTTTCAACATCATTTACAGAGCGAAAGGGTAATTTCCAAAAGGAATGATCTTTCTTCACACAGGTCTGCTCTCTCTCTCTCTCTCTCTCGGTTCCGTGGTAAGCTGCCAAAGCCGAAGGGACCAATCCTCACCGTAAAAAAAACAGAATAGCTGAAAAAGAATGTCGGAAAGGAATCCCGGCCTTATCCGAGCCACCGCTGTTCATGGCTGGCTGAACTGACCGAGAAAAACGGCTTCCTACCTAATCATATATGGTCCATAACCGAGCTTAGCTGGAACTCGAAGTTTCGATTTCTTTCCCATGATCTTCTGCAAGATTCTTCTTCAACCTTCTCAACCAAATCTCGTAATCCATCGGGTATGGTGTCCCGCAGAGGCTGTCAACATAGTCGGCAAAGGCCTTCAAGACAGTCGATACATCTCCTAGCTTCTGCTGAATCAATCTCCTCGACCAAGACGTCTCCCTCCATTGAAGAGCTCCTTCCACTGAATCTAGATCGGGAAAGTCTCCCGAGCAGCAGAAATAGAGCATGTAGATCAAGCTTTCTGCATCAGATGCTGCACAGAGTTTCCCTTCCTGAAGAGCGTACGTCGAGGAGAAGTGAAGATTCATTGCCGGGCGATCTCTGTCTTCGAGAACTGCATGACCCCAACCGATGAGTACAAAGTAAGGATTTCGTACACCCGAAGTGACGTAGATCACGTTTTCTGGGCGTATGTCTCCATGGCGAATTCCGGCGGAAGAGACAGTAGAAAGTGCAGATAAGCAATCGTGGCAGCATCTAATAGCCTCTTCCGGGCCGAATCTTCCTCCGTTCACCAAATCAGCAACTGTCTCACCGACTGGACTGGTCACGAGAATTGGAGTTCCGCACCAAGGATGGTCACACCGTCCACCTGAACTTGGTTTCTGACATTGGCCCGGGTGGATGATTCGACCAGACCCATGGAGCTGTGGCAAGTATTTGCTAGAAAGCCCTCTCTGTTTCATAGTACTCAATATCTTAGTCTGTCTCTGAACCTGATACCATAAATTCATGTCTTCCCAAGCTGGTTCAAGTTGTGTCGGGGGAGAACCGACATACAGAAAGACAAACTTTCCCGGGTCGTCCACTGGAGATGCAATATGATACGGAAGTGTACCGTTACACAATACTTCTTTAATCTGATACCCTTTTTGCCAGTTCGAATCCTCCAACCACAGAACACTTCCCACTTCCAGTTTCATCGATGGTTCAGACTCGATTCTGGTTGATTCTTCCTGAACTTCAACGATTTCATGAGACACGGTACTGTGCTCGAACCTAAACATACCATTCCCATTGAGTCTAGAATCCCCCAACTGTCTCTCCTGCCTTCTTATTTGAAGACGAGAACTATGATCAGCAGCTAAGTCTTCAATCGAGTGCCTCGGGGGGCCAAAGTACTGCATTATACTGTGGTAAGTGGCAAAAACCACTTGTAATGCCCCGATGTCTCCCCAGTTGGCATTTCCTAGTTTGTTCCATATTCTGTCGATTGGGGACACCGCTATAGTCGAATTCTTCTTTATCCATTCTGCAGCACAATCATAAACATTGTTCGTGTCAAAATCCAACTTATTTATATCCCCTTCAATTTTTACAACGCCGCCATATTGTGAATCAACGAGAAGAATGAAGACACAGTTTGAGCTCTGAGAAAAATCTAAACGGCTCACGCTTCTTGAGAGGAGTATACGGAGCGCATAGAAAAGAGCCTCGCCTAAGACAGGGAGAGAAGGCAGGCCCTCACTTTCCAGTGCAAAGCTTCCTATATCTGGCCTTAGAAGAGCAAGTTCAAGAATATGATCCCATTTTCCATGTGGATGTCTAGGATTTTTTAGCAAAATACCCGTTGCAGAAAGACTTTCGAGTTTCCCATTAGCTAAAGCTTTCTCAGCCGGATAGAACTTCAAGTTTTGATTGTATAAACAGGAAACAGAGAAAGGAACTGGCTCATCCTGACTCCAAAATGCCTCCCATAAGCCCTTAACAGTTGCATGTAGAAAATCCTCGATGGCTAGATATGCAGTTGCCTCCACAGCATTAGACGTTGAAGCATAAACCACATTGGGCATTCGAATTACCTGCTGGAAAGAAACCCCTTCCAATGCATAGTCAAACTTTTGGAGTTCCACCAACTCGAAAGGAACCTCAAAGATTGGCCTGTTATTTCCCGATTTTTCCAGTATTTCCTCAAACCAATCTTCAAGTCTTTCAATAAGATATTCGCTATCGGTAAACCTGTTAAGGAAATCCCGACGGTTACGAGAACGACTTCCCGATGAAATACTGGATCTCTTTGTACCAGACCCAACTGATTCCAGGTCTGGGGATTTACCTGTTAAACAGTAAAATTGCAATCTTGATCAATCACACGAACCGTCATAGGATTCTCATTTTATTGGACCCAGAAAACAATGGTTAAATCAAAGCCACTGACTTGATACATGCTCAAATATAGCCTAGCAATCTATCATGATGCTGAGAAGAACGGTCAAAACGACAAACCAATAAATTTTAGGAAAACATAAAGAGCAGATCAGCAGTCACAGAACTGGTAAAAGATAGCAACTCATTGGGGTTGAAGGATGCAATCATCGATTGGCAAACAACCACAATATAGAAAGACAATTCAAGATTGATATGAAGAGCTAACATACCGCCTCGGAAGATCAATGGCAATCCAGACAAGAAGAAACATGCTGGGGGATATTACTCACATGAAAAACAGCTACAAGCGATAGATACAAGAGAGCATTTTAGTTCTGAGATACTGAAAATTTTCCTAGAGATCTAAATTTATGTTCGAGAAGAAATAAAGATCTAAGAACAACCAAGTGATCAGCCATTGTAGCAAAATGGGATCGGGAAAAACCAAAGAATCTAAAAATAAAACAAGTACAGATGCAGTGAGATACATCAACTTCTGGTGAAAGACAAGACAAAGCTTCCCCATGGGCTTGTCTTCAAACGCATGCAAATGAGAAACTAGAAACGCACAGACACAGATCAATAAATGTCTGTACCATTGCACGGAATTCAACACCTCAGACGCCTCGAGTCCATTGACAATCGCAGATAATTTCAAGATGCCAGATTGAACTTAGTGACAGAACCGCAATGGGAATTCAACTCATATGCATTCGCATCTACCACTCAATTCCCCCTGTTTTCGGGTCTACTCAAACGGACAGATTTAGGGCGAGAAGATTCCGAAGACGAACCGTAGCGAATCAGAGAAAGTGAAACCCAGTTCTCGTGAAGTAAAATCAAGTCAAACGCATAGAAGTTTGGGAAATTAGGGTTTCACAGAGATGGAAAAAAAAAGCCCCAAATCCGAGAGTAGCTAACAAGCACGCACCTTCCATAACAGAGAATCCAATTCCCAAACCTCAGCTTCCTCCTCCTTCTACTCTCTGTAGTCACTGAGATCGTTCTTCCTCTTTCGCGTGTTCTCCGATTTCTTCCAGTCCCTCCACGTCTGAGTCGCTGACCACTGTTCCCTTTTTTAAAAAAATTATTATTAATTTTCCAAAAATTATTTGGGTATTTCTTAGGCATTTTTTTAAATATAAAAATATTGCAAGACAGGTCAAAAGTACGAACACTTACCAAACTCATGCCGGATAAAGACTGCGGTCTTCGCTTATTTAACACATTAATATATTCTCATAGTTTATTATAATGTATTATTCGCATTTAATTGGTTGAAAAATTGAGTTTCGTCTTAATAGCCGGTCCAACCGGTTCGAGATGAGGATTCTGGTTTTCTAGAGATACATCATACATTTGCACACTAACTAAAGGTGTAAAAGCAAAGTTCATAGCCGGTTAGTGACCCGAACCTCGTTATCTGATCCGAGTCCAATCGATAAATTTATGTGATTTTAAGTTTATAAATTTTCTGACATCTGATGTTCTTCTAATATAGATTGTTAATATTCGTTTGTTATGATACGTTGGTTTTAGCTTTATTTAATTTTTTGTATAATTCAAAAATCTACCGAATATTCGTTTCAATTTCATGTCTCAAAACACTAGAAAAAATTTATATAAATAAATATCTTCAAATGGGTGTTCGAATTGAATGCAAGAGCAATTCTCAATTTTTCTTCCTTACTCTATATATATATATATATATATATCTATATAGATATATAGATATTCTCTTTTGAGAAGAGACCGAGATATTCTAACTATTGTTTTTGTCTGACTGTCTCCATCTTTCCTCGTATCAGTTTTAATTCGTAGGTTACTTGAGCGTTACGGAAAGGTACTGAAGGGATTGCTTAACTATCACGGATCAGATCGTGCCACGTGTTGGCACCTGAATCGTTCTTTTCTGAAGTGAAAAACGGCACGATGTTCAAGTGAAAACGGAATGCAGTTTCAGATTCGGGGTTGAGTGAGGGCCCTTCGTTTGATCGACTGCTGAAAAAAAAGGGCGAAGGCAAAAAACATGATTTGATCGATAGCCGTTGGTTCTTCTTCTTCTTCTTCGTGGGAGAAAATGGTGATGGAAATTGTGGAGCCAAACACCTGCGTCAGAGGATGTTGCAGCAGCAAATCCATTCCTCTTCATCTCTCTCCTTCTTCCTTCTCTCTTCTCTCCGAAATCGCTAGAGGTACTCGTCTCTCTCTCTCTCTCTCTCTCCCTCTCTCTGCGCGCAGTCATAATTCGATCGAGCTTGGGGTGTGTGTGTTAGGGTCGGAAAGTGTGGTGTACGAAGCGATTCTCGACGGCCGAAGACTGGCCGCAAAAAAACCTGTCTTGTCTACTTCCGATGATCTCAATAAGTTCCATAAGCACTTGCAGCTTCTATGGTCTCTCTCTCTCTCTCTCTATCTGCTCTATGATTTGTGCTTTTCGTTGTGCTGCTCAAGCATCTAGAGGCGGATGCTGCTGCACAATGCTGATTTCTTTCTGTCGTTTTCCTTTCTATGCTCCCGGTTGGTTTTGAACTGATGAAGCAAGCTTGATCATCCGGGTGTGGCTAACCTAGTGGCGGCACATGCCAAGCCTCCCAATTACTTGTTTTTCTTTGAGTTCTATGAATCTGGGACCCTGGCTGAGAAATTGCACGTCGAGGAGTGGTCTCCTAGCATCGATCAGGTGCTCATGATCACGCGTCAGTTAGGTATAAGTTTCGCCATTGCATTCTAAGTTGAAGGTTTTGTTAAGGTGTCTCCTCGTTTGGTGACGAATGGTCATTGCTATTAGTTTTGTGAAATCCTCCAGTGTAGTTTCAAGACAAGATCTCACACTTTTTCGTATCTATCTTTTGTTAAGTCTTCTGTTCCCTGTCTGTTTCCTTTTCCAGCAAGGGCATTGCTGTATCTCCACGACAACGGAATTGTGCATAGGGATGTGAAACCGGCCAATGTTCTTGTATTCTTCTTCCATTAATTTCAGTTTATTTTCATGTATGAGGATTTTGGTTCTGTTTCTTTGGGAAGCCTATTCATGTTCATTGAGCTAAAGTGGGAATGTCGTATTGCAGCTCGACAAGAACCTTTCTCCACATCTTGCCGACTTTGGTTTAGCAGAATATAAGAAGGATCTAAAAGAAGTTAGTCTCCAAAACTGGAGACCGTCTGGCAAGCCTACTGGCGGTTTCCACAAAAAGAATATGGTTGGAACCCTTATTTACATGGCACCAGAAATACTAAAGAAAGAGATACATACTGAGAAATCAGATGTCTATAGCTTTGGGATATTGATCAAGTAAGAATTATTGAACATTTGTAAATCATTAAATAGAAAAGTAGGAAAATTTTCTTCCTTTGGTTACTTGTATGCAGTTGGTTCCATTTCTACTTCAGCTATATAATTTTGCATGTGCTCGGCTTCTTCCAAAGGGCCTCATTTTTTTAGAAATATTTTCCCAAATTTTCACATTGCAGTGAGCTTCTAACTGGAGTTGTTCCATATACTGACCTTCGTGCAGAAGCTCAGGTTAGAATAATTTCCGCATTTCCTCTCTCTACATGAGCTTGCCCGCTTTTTCACTGGAACAATAGTTTTATGTATATGCGGTCTCTCGATTGCATCCATTTGACGGTGGTAAGCATTAGTTCAATGATCTCTGGAGTGATATATATTGCATGGAAATGTTGACTCATACACACTCATGAATGCTTGCAACTTTATATAAACCTATGCCATGCAGAACGTATATCATTTGTTTCGAATATGTATCTATGGCAGGCTCACACTGTTTTAGAGATGAATTACACAGAGCAGCAACTTACTGCTGCCATTGTGTCTTCTGGCCTGCGGCCTGCTCTTGCTGAATCGGGGTTACCTGTTCCGGAAACGTTGCTGTCTCTGATACAAAAGTGCTGGAATGCAGACCCTTTAAAACGACCTTCTTTTGAGGATATAGTTCGGGAACTAGAAACAATTTGGGAACTAAAGAGAGGAAAAGAACAAGTTCAGACCCTTGAGGAAACTTGTATTTCCTACAATGACCAGTCTGTAGACATCATTGAAAGAAAAGGAACCAGTAGGGATGCCATTAATTGGTCCATTCAGGGGGAGAGCTTCTCTAAGAAATCTTCTCTCAACAATGTCCCAGGCATAAAATTTTGGTCTGGTTCTACAGATGGTCATTTAGGATATGTCCCTGTACTTTCTTGGGGATCTTTTGCAACATGCGGAAGAAGAGAGTCCATGGAAGATACACACTTCCTTATGCCCCATATGTGCAATGAGGGAAACATTCACTTATTTGCTATCTTTGACGGTCATAGAGGTATACTAACACTGAATTTGAACCCAGGATGCATCAACTTCCAAATTCTTACTGTTTGGTCAATCCTTCTCGCATGCTTCCATTCGAAATCCTTTTTTTTACCACCAAACAAGGTATAGATAATTTCATCTGGATGACACACAGGTGCTGCAGCTGCTGAATTCTCTGCCCAAGTTTTGCCAGGATTCCTTGAAAGCTTATCCTCCACAAGCAGGTTAATGCTCCAGATGTTCCCGTTCTTTGTTATCATCTGTTTGGAACTCATTCCTATGTCTTGGTCCAGCCCTGCCGATGCACTCTTCCAAGCATTTGTTAGGACAGATTTGGCTTTCAGACACGAACTCGATTCTCATCGTCAGTCAAAGAGGGGGATACAGAGAGATTGGCATCCTGGTTGTACTGCAATTGCTGCTCTTGTGGTGGACAATAGGCTTTTCGTTGCCAATGTTGGTGACTCCAGGGCAATGATATGCCATGCTGGCCGTCCAGTCCCTCTAAGCAAGGTGAGATTGGGCAATCATTTTCCCACCATCAAAGGATCACCAACTTTTAAATAACTGAACTCTGGGAGTTGAAATTAGGTCCATCTTGCAACATGTGTCGAAGAGAGAAAACGCGTTATCGCGGAAGGCGGATGTGTTGAATGGCTAGTTGATACATGGAGAGTTGTTCCTGCTGGTCTCCAGGTTTTCCTCTATACATTATTCCCATACCATTTACCGATAGAGGAACATGAAAACCACTTTTCTCATTTAAGTTTTGTTGATATTTGGGTTAACCTTATCCTTTGGCAGGTCACCCGGTCAATAGGAGATGATGACCTGAAGCCAGCTGTGACTGCAGAACCCGAGATCACCGAGACCGTACTGTCAGCTGATGATGAGTTCTTGGTACATCAAGCCACATAACAGTTTCATATTTGATAATTCAGCGTTATCACATTCACTAACGAAGGGTGAGAGGAATAATAGGTGAAAACACGTGACAGGTAATGGCGAGCGACGGGCTGTGGGATGTGGTGAAGGAAGAGGAAGTGATTAGGATAATAAAGGATACTGTGAAGGAACCGGCGATGTGTAGCAAGAGATTAGCAACAGAGGCAGCAGAACGTGGAAGCGGAGATAACATCACTGTCATTGTTGTCTTTCTCCGTCCAGTTTCCACAGCTGAGCGTATCTTCTAGAGAGGAGGTACGTCCCCATCTTTCTGCCTTTTGATCATTACATACATACTGTCGAAAGATTATACATTCTTTCTATTTGTTATGCCAACAGTTCCATAAGAAGCGTTGGTACTTTATGTTAGACTTAATTGGGACAATGAAATAATTTAACAGAGCATCATCCTCGGTACATTATTCTAATTGTGGACGATGACCGATCATCTCTCATCATGTGGTCCAATTCGGAACTGCTGCTACAGATGCGTGGTATAGTGTTTTCGTATTCCCGTAGAATGGACAAGGGGGTGTTCTTATGTTTTGTAAAATATTTTATTTGATGTGCCATCGTATTCATGCGACCGTTGGTTACTAATAATTTGAATACTTCATCGTTGATTTTTATATTCTCATATAATAAACTACTGCAGATTTGTGATATAGTTTTTTCGTATTCTCTTATAATGGATTGCTCTTGTTCACGGGGACAGTCAAACACCAACATTTAAGGTCGAGACGTTTCGGCCTCGACAGGAATCTTGTCGGTGGCCTTTCAATATATTGTATATGTATATTTAATTATATATATATATATATGTTATTCACGTGTGTCATAAATGGAGCTTTTGAAATGTTTGGGTTATCAGATGTGATTCACAATCACACTATAAAAGAATGGATTAGAGGACACAACAAAGGACAGTTTTTTTTTAGTTTCCCGTTATTTGTGCAGACAAAAGCAGAGGAAAGAGAGACATGACAGAATGTACCCTTGGAATCACAAGCCTTTTCAAGACAGACCCATAACCATTTTTCTGAGATTTGATAATGCAGAGCCAACCATAACATGATGCAAACCAGAGTTTATATGGCAACAAAGGAAGCTTCTTTTTTATAAAAACAAAAAGCTCACCTCCTTAGTAATCGAAGGGCCATCCACTGTAGTAACCCGCCTGCGGATTTTGATGCTGTTGGTGATGGTAATGGCTCTCATCCACGGCCGATGAGCTGCTTTCATCTCCCCTGTTGTGGACGGAGCTTGAGCCCGAAGATCTGAATGGCCAGAAGTTCGAGAAAGGGTTCCTTCGCCCATTGCTACTCTCCCTTCTCGTGGTTCTGTTTTGTGAGCTCTGTGTACTCGATGGCAGTACTCTCTGCGGCAATTCTTGGCGACATACCGGGCATGAGTTATGCTGAACCAGCCATGGGATAATGCAGTCCGGGTGATAGATATGGTTGCATGGCATCTGCCTTGCTTCTGATCCGATCTCAAACTCGTCTTTGCACACAGGGCAGTTGGGGTCGGACCGGATATGCCTTTGTGTAATCTTGACGGTCGGCATTGCATCTATTGCTGATCTTGGTGCAGGTGGAGGCCCTCGACGAGCGCCAACCGATAGCTGCTCAAATAGTTCTTCGAGACCCGGCCCAAAAAAGTAATCGCCCGTGTTCCCACGTGTGATGCCAATGCCAGGTGAACCGTTGAAGAAGGCCTCGAGTGAATTATCTCCTCCAGCCAATCTTAAGGGGACTTGGCCACCGAAAATCAACAAAGGAGCAAGACTTGGGAAGTTTTCACCACCTGAGCGGAACCTTCCTCTGATTTCTCGGTCATAGTTCCTTTCAGCTAAGCGATTCCTCATAAGGGCTGAGAAAGCATCCATGAGATCAAATGTCGGATCGCGCTCTACTTCCCTGTATGGTCTAAACATGCCCAAGGGGCTGGCTGATGGCACCATATCCTCAAGCTCTTCAACAAATCCTCCTCCGCAATAGGAACAGACAGGCTCCCGGCCGTGAAGCCGAACAGCTCGCTGGCATCTGTGACACCAATGGGTATTTCGACTGCCCGACATCCTTCTTCTCTCAACAAAGAAAGAAAAGAAAAGAAAATAGCAAAATCCTTTGCTTGATGCCCTGGGAAATTTTAGTCTGCTTTATCCGGTTTCAGTTATTAGCCTGCAAAATCAGATAGATAGTAGAACTGATGACCAAACCCAATTGCTTATACCCGTTAGGTTAAGTTGGAAAGCCGAAGAGCCTTAGCAGAATCTCTCATTTCTGGCTTACCTTAGATTATTAAACACGTTCCAAGATTTGAAGAAACCTTAGGTCATACTTTAGCCAAAAAGACCGAACTTTGGAACATATGCAGCACCCAGACAGGAAGACCAAAAAGCCAGTAATGATATCCTCATGGTTTCCCTCAAGACTAAAGCCCGATTCACAGGTTTAAACCTAGAGAATTATCTACATGATATGCAATTTCAAAAACCGCTGTGCAATCATGGAGTTAGGCAACCAGAAAGCCGGCTGCTGACTAATACTATAAAAACACGGAACACAATCACCTTCAAACTCCAATCGCTTACTTTCACATAACATCAAATTACCCCCGACAGAGGATCGACAGAACAGTGCATGAAAAGCAACCCAAATGATATTAGCTACAATACACGGAGAGCAGATGCGAAACGGATAATCCGAAAAAGATCCAAATAGATAGAAACTATCAGCCGATAGATGAACAACCAGAACACAGATTACGGCAAACGCATCAAGTAGGAGATAGAGAATCCAGTACTCTAAAAGCTAAAAATTCCGAAAATAGAGCAAAAATACAAAAACAATCGTACTCACGGTAAGCAAATCCGAAGAACGAACTGAAGAAATCCAATCTGGTGATCCAAATCCAAATCCGCAGAAAATAATGGATGCGAAAGACAAATCGATCTATGATTACCTCTTCATCTAAACACCGGAAGGTGAAGAATCAAGTGGGGATTGAGATTTGACGAGGGAGAGATGCCCTAGGGAACCTCAAGCTGGAATGGATTTCGAGGGAGAAGACGAAAAGGAGCCCAACACACTCCAATTCGACTGAGCTAATTAAAGACAATGATAGCAATAATAAAAAGCAGTCACCGTAAGTAGTTGGCGATAAGAGGGAGAGGCGACGCTTCTGTACCCTCTCACGCGTGCCACGTGTTAGATTTCCGAATAAGCCCCCATTTTCTCTTTATCTACGATCCTGCCACAAACATAAAGATATACTGGTTGTGTGTGTACATAAAAATTCAGCGGAAATAAATTCTTCACGGATGCCACACTGGGAAATTAAATGTCACGGGTAAAAATTAAACTTAGCAAGCTTGATTATTCACGATACTATGTGAATGTCCTAATTTTTGTAATTCTGAAAAACTGTGTTTATTCGCATTAAATTTAAAAGATATTTTTCGTGTTTCTTTTATGTTCTCGAGCTTTCCACAACAATAAAATAGCATAAATATAGATGTAGAAATTATCTTGATCTTCTATTCGTGTCACTCACCCAAATAGTAATTTCCAATTTTTATTCGGATTCGATTATATTTAGATCCGTTTATTTCGTATTTAAAAAACTATGATTATCCAGTTTTTATATTGAATTTATTTCGATTTTTATTGATAAAAATACTAATTTTAAAAAAAAATATCAATTTTTTAAAAAAGAATTATTCGGAGTTCAATTTTTAGGTTTTAAAAAATCGAAATCATTCGTTTTTTATATTGAATTCAATTCGGTTATAATCATATGCTAGTATAGTTTCATTTAGATTAGTTTAATGATTCAACTATTAACCAAATTGATGATGCTACCTAGTTCAATAAGGTAAGGTGCCCATCCTTTGAAACGAAGCTCTGATACCATAATAGAGAAATGTTTTTCTATTATTGATAATGGGAAGAATACATCATAATATATAGCAAAATACAATAGAATATTATAGGCATAATATCTAGGGTAAATCATAACAATATTAATGATAATATTATAAGAATAATATCTTCCTATATTCCTTGGGGGATTAAGCAAAATGGGGCAACACTTTGCATGCTAAAATTAATAACCAACACTAAATTAGATGAAGCAAGGCCCTAGATATCGCGGGTTTCAGCCGGGCAGAAAAGATAAATGTGATCTCGCAACATCTAACATTGGATCCCACAAACCCCAAACCCCAAACCTGAAAGACAAAAGTAAACTTTTCATGTTTGATCCTGGCCATAACCTTGCCATATAAAGGAGGCATTACAAAACCAAAATGACAGGAAAGAGAAAGCAACAGCGAAAGCTCTAATACCTGAGAGAACTTCAATCCTATCCTGTCAAACCAGTATCGGCCCAGAACAGTTGGGCTCCACAACACGGGGGGCTCTAAGAGCTGTTGGCGTTGCCGTTTCTCACTGATACGGACAAACTGCGTGTCGTTTTAATGTGAAGGGAAGGATTGCTCTTGACGTTTTGGACTATGGAAAACGAACGGGCCGCCGGTTCATTGCCCAATTATTGTCTGTCAATCTTAAACAAAAAAAAAACAATTTATAAAGATTATATAGATTATATATATAATATTTATTGTTTGCTATTTTAATAATAATGTATATTTTATTATTTTTTAACACAATTAACCGTTCAATGCTCATGGAAAAAAAAGTAAATAGTTGTATCATATATATATATATATATATATATATATGTGTGTGTGTGTGTGTGAGTGTGTTGATTTTTTTGAATTTCTTATCTAAGATTTTGTTGGGTACATATTTTATAATGGACCAACCTAAAAAAACATTCTGAAAGGGAAGAGATTCGAGTCTCAATGTTATTTATTTCGGACACCAAGGTGTTGGAGAAATAAACAAAAAGGTTCCGCAAACGTCCAATATTTTTCATAATTAAAACAATAAAATATCTTCGTTATCTTTGCAAATCGATCGACCCTCGACAGCTTGAGTTGGCAGGCATCAGCCCATTTGTTGTTTTTTTCTTCCTAGTTTTAATATTGAATTCATTTAATACTACTTTGGGCATTAGAGATTACAAGAAAAACATATAACCATTTGATAGGAAATACCACTTATATATATATAATCCTCAAAAAAAAAAAATCTTTGATATTGAAACTTTTAATTTTAAAAATAATTAAAAAATATTTATCATATTTTTATTTTTTTCATAATATTTAAACTTGATATATGTTTTTCTAATTAGAAAACGATACAATTTATACATGGATATTAAAAACGTGTAAAATATATAGTTAGATCAGTTAAATGGGTCTATTTTGAAACATTTGTTTGAATATATATATATATACACACACACACATAACGAGATTCATCAATTAAATATCTATAGCATACTATATTTTTCACACAATTATTTATTTAGATACGTAGTCTAAGGTTTTCTATTATCGTGAGTTAATCATAATATAAATTTTTTTTCTCGAACTTCTTCGTGATTTTGCATATGTAATTTGTATATCTAACAAAAAAAAAATTACTAAAAAAGGCAGTAAGCTTATGTGACACAATCATCTAAATTTGGAAAAAAAAAATATGGCTTTACAATTAAAAAAATAAACAAATCTCCGACACAACATTCTCTCCCTCCCATGCGAAGGACCCGCTCTCCCAGGTAGAGACATTGACCAATTATGACTTCTATTCTTTTTGTGCAATGACATCTTTTTCACTATAGTATATATATATACAATGTAATACTGTTATAGTATACGATGTGATGCCATGTGGACTTGGGTTAGGTACGTTATTGATTTTGAGCATGTCCAGAATGTTTGGAAATATGATATCCAATTTATGAAATTCATATACTTGAATCTCCGATATTTGCAAGTATCTAAATTCAAATTTACATTTTTTTTATTTTTGATAAAAATATTTATTGTCGATAAAAAAAATATTCGGGTATTTCAGAAGACAATAAAGGCGTATTTTTTTAATATCTAATGTCTTATTTGAATGAACAGATTAAAAAAATCATAAACCATCTAAAAAGATTTTTTTTCCACGAGATAGTTCAACTGATAAAAGATAAAGTTAAAAAAAATTATAATCGAATTTTCATTATCTGAACTTTTCATTGAAATATAATTATATCAAACGTAAAACGCCTAAAAAACCTCCGAACTTGTAACTTGTCACTGAATAAAACTTCGAACTTGCAAATTATTGCTCTAATAAACATTTGACCGGTTTGACCACAATTTCAGGCGATCGGAAATCCACGTATTAACGGATTGCTGATGTCATTTTTTAAACTAAAATTGATAACATGTATAAGGTGACATCAACAATCCGTTAATACCTGGATTTCCGATCGCCTGAAATTGTGATCAAACCGGTAAAAAGTTTATTAGAGCAATAATTTGCAAGTTCGAGGTTTTATTTAGTGACAAGTTACAAGTTCGGCTGGATTTCCGATCGCCTGAAATTGTGATCAAACCGGTAAAAAGTTTATTAGAGCAATAATTTGCAAGTTCGAGGTTTTATTTAGTGACAAGTTACAAGTTCGGGGATTGAATGATAGTTTTTCAAGTTCAAGATTTATTTGTATATATTTTTGCAAGTTGGAGGTTTTTTAGGGGTTTTAACCTTATATCAAATATCTGATAAACTTTCAAATTATAAAAAAAAAATTGTATGAGGTCACAATAATCAGCGGTGGAAAAAGTATAAATTATAATTAACCAGTTGCAAATATAAAAAGACACGTATGACAAGGTCTGGTGTACTTGCAAATAAAAAAACGTATGAAATTATGAATTCCGAGGATTAATTTTGCAGACTTGGAAAAACATGCATTCATATTTCATATACCACTTCTCAGCTTTATTTTTTTATTTCTTAAATCAACCCTAAATATTATTGTTTTGTACGTAATCGGTCTGACTAGTGACTATGTATTTACATGATTTACTGAATAATTTTCTCGCGTTATATATATACAAATTGTTCAGGATTAAAATTCGAATGAAAAACATAGGATATGATATGCGCATTGTAAACACCTCTTTTGCATGAGGACGTAGACCTACGCGTCATGTGTCGTATTAGATTTATACGTACGTTAAGTGTATCATCTTTAAGACGAAAGGACAATAAAAATCAACTTTCGTATCCATTGTCGGCTTGATATTAATAATGGTGGTACGTAACCACTCGGAATCTGGTTAATTGTTTAATCATCGAGGTCATACAAAACACACGTAAAAAGCTTCAACAGCATATATATATATATATACTTGCGTACATATACATATATATATACACATACGTATATATACACACACAACCACACATCCTTGTATGTAAAGACACACAAAAAAAGCCATTTGGAAGAAATAATTGTCCTGACCACATTAATTCTCCCGGACGCAGAACCATGGTTTAATTGACAATTGTTTTTTTAAATAATCCCTTATCTTTTTTCATTTAACCAAGTATTATATATATATATATATATAAAGAGATCAAGTCAAATCAGGAAAGTAAGAAACAAAATATTTATATGTATATATGTAATATATTTGTATAGATATTAGAGGTATCTGTATATATAGAGAAGTTCTCAAGCATAAGCAGACACATTGTGTGTATATATCTAAACGCATCAATACAATTGAAAGCTATGTAAGGTAACATTCACTAACATCCTATAAAAAAGTTTCGGTTTCTAGTTAAATACTGCAAGTTGCTGGGATGAAAGACATCATCATCATCATCATCATCATCATCATCATCATCATCTAGTCAATTCAAATATATACCATTGCAACATGCCGATTTGCGGGGAGAGACACTGATCTTAAGATAGGGAAGAGAAAAAAGGAGCTCCCTTCAGTCCAAGCACAGAGAGAGAGGGATGAAAAAATATCTCCCGCATCATTCACACAGCCACTCGGCAGATTCAGTTCTCTACCGGGTGCTCGAGTGAATGAGTCGGCAGATACTTCTGCCCCCTTGTTTTTCCTGTCCATGTCTGGACTGAGAGAAGCTCTTTCTCTCTCATCCTCTCTCTCTCTCTCTATATATATATATACAAGATTCCAATCAGAAATATATAGGATATATGCTTCAATTATATCATATACATGATGTTCCAGTTGGTCTAAGAATGCATTGATACTGTATGAATAAAAGAAAAAGATTCGGGGTGCCTATACATACACATGATATAGATGCATATATATATATATATATATATATATATATATATATATATATATATATATATATATA